GTGTGTGTGTGAGTGTGTGTGTGAGTGTGTGTGTGTGTGAGTGTGAGTGTGTGTGTGTGTGTGTGTGTGAGTGTGAGTGTGTGTGAGTGTGTGTGTGTCTGTGTGTGTGTGAGTGTGTGTGTGAAAGCCCGCTGTGGGACAGCCCGCGCCCCCGTCCCGAGGGTCGCCGTTTCCTTAAGAGCCAGGGGAGGCGCCGCCCACTCACCGTGGTGATGAACCTGTACAGGGGCTGCCGTCTCTCTGTGTACTTGACCGTGATGGGGCTGAGGTCGTAGCGGAACCAGATGGCAGGGATGATGCGGCCGGTGTGGCTGTAGGCGACGTACTCCTGGGGGGAGGAGACGGGTGAGGGGCAGGTGCGGAGGGCATGGGGTGCAGGTGCACAAGCCGGGTTCCCCCTGCCACCCCCGAGAACGGGCCTCCCCCCCTCTCTCCCGGGGAGCCAGACGCACTGGACGGGCATCCTTGCCGGGGCATTTGACCTTGGCTGCCTGGAAACGTCCCTATGTGGATCCCAGAAGCAGCGCCCGAATGAAAATAAGAACCGGAGAGCACAAAGGACAAGTGCGGCCTGGGCTCATTCTGAATCAAGGTCTCCCTCCTGCTTCCTGGGCCACGCGAAGCCATTCATTCAGTCAGCAAGCTTCCTTCCTACGCCCTCACCCGCTGGCTGGCGCCATGCTGGCAGCTGGGGACCCCAAGGGAGCAGAGGGAGTCACGGTTTGGGGAAGGCAGATGTAACAATATGTGCAGCCCTGGCCAGTTTGGCTCAGTGGATAGAGCGTCGGCCTGTGGACTGAAGGGTCCCAGGTTCGATTCCAGCCAAGGGCACATGCCTGGGTTGCAGGCTCCATCCCCGGTGGGGATGGTGCAGGAGGCAGCCGATCAATGATTCTCTCTCATCATGGATGTTTCTATCTCTCTCTCTCCCTCTTCCTTCCTCTCTGAAATCAATAAAGAAATATTATATATATATATATATATATATATATATATATATATATATATATATAAACACGTGCAATACTGCGACACCATGCACGCTGTGATTGAGGGACATGGAGTCCTACAGGAGCCACCGGCTAAGTGACTGTCTCCCCGGGGCGTCTGGAAGGCTCAGTGAGGAGGGGACATTCCATACCATACGTGACATCCTGAGGAGTGCGTGCGTGCGTGCGTGTGACCCAGAGACCACGTGGGGAGAAGGAACACACGGAACTGGAAAGCCAGAGGGCTCAGCCCACAGCCTGCCTCCCAGGAAGGGACCGCAGGGGCCGAAAGGATGCTAAGGGCCCCAGTGGGCCGTGGGCCCTCCGGTCTGGGTGCCGTGGGCCCTCTGGTCTGGGTGCCGTGGGCTCTCTGGTCTGGGTGCCGTGGGCCCTCTGGTCTGGGTGCCGTGGGGTGCCGAACACCTCCGGGCTCCCCTCATTCTTCTCCAACATCTGGAGACCACGCTGAACCCCCAGGCCACCCCCACCCTCACCCGCTGGGCCGGATCCCAGGCTTCTCCTGGGGAGGAGTCCGAGCCCTGCCCCTCTGCTCGCCGTCCCCGATGGGCACAGCCCCGTGCGCTCCGGGCACGCTGGGCCCAAGGCCACAGAGGGAGCTGAGCAAGCTGTTCTGGGCGCTGGGCCCCGGCCAACGCCTCCGGGGAAGGAGCCGGGGGCAAAACAAGATCAGCTTTCTCCCGGGGAGCGGGCAGGGGGGCGGACGGACGGGGCAGGGCGACTGTCTGGGTCACAGCCTGGGGCTGAGGGCCAGAGAGAGATCATGAAAATGTCACATGCATCCACAGCCTTCTCCAATGCCCGGCTTCAGAGGCAGCGCCTCATCTGACAGAGGTCTGAGGAGGTGGGCATCATCTCACAAACCAGTAAACTGAGGCACCAGGGGGTCATGTGACTTAGAGACGGAACCAGGTTGGGGCCGGCTTTCTCCTCCCCAGCTCACGACGTCAGCTCGGCCTGCCCCCACGTTCTCCCAGCTGCCAGATGCCGCCAGCCCCTGAGGGTGACAAAGGCAGGCCCTCCAAGAGGCAGAGACAGGAAATACCAGCACCGGTGGGTGGGTGGGCCAGAGCAGGGGGGCCCGGCAGGCCCCTGCCCCTTGCTCAGAAGGGACGGCGATGGGGCCAGGAGGCCAGGCTCTGGAGCCCGAGGAGAAGCCGGTTCTAACCCCCACTTGGCTACTTCATAGCTGGACTAGCTTGCTGTGTCTCAGTGGCCGAATCTGTGAAATGGGGACAATGACCGTCCCGACGTCAGAGCCGTCATGATGACTGAACACGATGGTGGAGGTAGAGAGCTTAGCATCGTGTCCCCTTACAGGTGCTCAATAAATGAGAGCGACTGCTCTATTATTATTATTATTACTAATTGAGCGGAACTGTATCGCTCACAAGGGGGTCGGGCAGCCCTGGCCCGGATGACAAAGGAGACTTCTGGCGGTAAAGGGATCTCGTGGGGAAACCTCAGCCAACGAGCTTCGGGCATTCACGTCCCCCTGGCAGGCAGGGTCCTCCCCCGGGCAGCCCGGAAACCACTGCTGGTCACCCCACCCCGCTGGCTCTGACCAGGCCCTGCCTGCCCGAGGCCTGCCTGCTTCTCCGTGACTTTTGAGTGTTGGGGTCCTGGGACATTCCCGTTAACCCGTGGCCATCGGGGTGACTCAACAGCCAAAGCGCCTGTCATGTGCTGCCCAACCAGGGGCCAGGTGCGGGCCGCGGAGCCGGCTGTAAGCCCTCGGCCTCCGTGGGAGGCCACCTGCCAGCTTCTCTCAACTGGTGCCCGGACACGTGCAGCCTCTGCTCCGGGCCAGCAGAGGGCGCTGTTGCTCGCGGCCGCCCGTACCTTGTTGGCCACCGTGTACTGGTAGGAGTACCGCTGCTTGCCGCTCTTGTCTTCGTAAACCGTGGGCACAATCTTCAGGATGTAGTCGTGGGAGGCGAGGGCTGCGGGAAGGAGGCGGCAGAGTGAGTGAAGCGGGGATCGGGCCCTGCCTGGGGGCGGCAGCTCTAGGTCATTTCAACCTTCAGCCGGCCCGGTGATTGCTGGTGGCTGGGGGGGGGGGGGGGGGGCTCAGCCTCCACATGCTCATCCCCGAACGGGAGACCCCGCTTCATCTCCTCCCTCTGACCCCAGGGATGGGGAGACTCCACCTGCCAGACCGTCACTCCGTATTTAATATTACAATCCGGGGAACCTCACAATGCCCCCTCCCCGGGCGGCCATGGGGTGGGTGCTGGGCCAGGCCGTTTGCCAAGAGGAACTGTTACGTAAGAGAACCACGTTACATAACCGGGCGAATGACGTGTTTCCGTGCAGGGGGTGGGGGTGTGGGGGGAGGGCAGGGCAGGCTCATGCTCTCCACATGCAAAAACACAGAGAAGAGGAGCAATCGGCAGCCTTGGCCTCCGGGGCAGGAGGCAGGATGTGATAAGGATCACGTTTCCCTGCGGCACCCTCTGGCCTGTTTGAATATTGTTCCTTTTCAAACAGACCGGGTGGAGGTGTTAAAAAGAAGGAGCCCCACAACCTGGAAAAACGAAGAATCAATTTCTTTCCCCCATTCTCAGGGAAGGGGAGATCCAGGCCTCCGCCCCCCCAGGCCCTGCCATAGACCTCACAGGGACTGTCTCTCTCACACACACACACACACACACACACCTGCTGGACGGGAGGCCGCAGGGGGCAGGAACCAGCCTGACTCATCCCTGCGTCCCCAGCACCCGGCGGGGTCTGGTCCGGAGCGGGCAGCGGCGGATGCTTATTGAGTGAATGAACGGGTGGAGGGATGACTGGCCGGAGGCATGAATGGGAGCGCGGGTGAATCAGCTTCTGATAAGCGTGAGGCAACCAGATCCCGACAGGAGCCTCACGGAGCGCTGCCCGCAGCGGCCAAGTCCCACCGGGGAGGCACGAGCCCCCTGGGGCCTTCGGGGACGCTGAGGGGAGCAGCATGAGGACCGTCCGTCTGTGACTGCCTTCGGGACCTCCAGGCAGGGCCCCTGGAGTGGGTACCACAGGAAGTGCGGACCCGCCAGTTCTAACCCCGGTCTCCTGGCTGAGTCAGCCCTGAGCCTGGCACTCATCTCTGTAAGGGGAGGGGGCGGGGGTGCAGATGCAGTGCACGGCCTCTTCCTGCTAACGCCAAGTCACAGGAAGGAAGGAAGGGAGGAAGGAAGGAAGAAAGGAAAGAAGGAAGGAGGAAGGAAGGAAGGAAAGAAGGAAGGAAGGAAGGAAAGAAGGGAGGGAGGGAGGGAGGGAGGGAGGGAGGAAGGAAGGAAGGAAGGAAGGAAGGAAGGAAGGAAGGAAGGAAGGGAGGAAAGAAGGAAGGAAGGGAGGAAAGAAGGGAGGGAGGGAGGGAGGGAGGGAGGGAGGGAGGGAGGGAGGGAGGGAGGGAGGAAGGAAGGAAGGAAGGAAGGAAGGAAGGGAGGGAGGGAGGGAGGAAAGAAGGAAGGAAGGGAGGAAAGAAGGGAGGGAGGAAGGAAGGAAGGAAGGAAGGAAGGAAGGAAGGAAGGAAGGGAGGAGGAAGGGACAGGCTGCCTGGACTGTCTTCAGAGCTGACGCCTCTGCCAGCCTGGGAAGTGTCTGCAGCCTCAGGCTCAATGCACCACGACCCCATAGTCCTCGGCTGAACCCTGAGGGGTCCTCAGACAGCCAAGCACTGGAGTCACCCAGGAAGGCAGACACCTGGCTCGTCACTGCCTGCCCCCACCCCATCGAAGATTCCTGCCCAGTGGGCCTGGCGTGGGCTCAGAACCTGTCTGCGTTTTAAACAGGAGCCCACACTTGCAATGCAGTGCCCCGATGCCGACCGTCCGGAGTAAAACCCAGAAGGCCTGGGCATCGCCCTGCATGGTGCCACGAAACGGAAGGGAAGTCACCGGGAATGGGGGGAGGAGGAGGAGGGACAGGGCGAAGGGGCCGGGTATAAGTGATGGAAGGGGACTGGACTCTGGGGGGTGGGAGGGAGCCGTCCATGGAGCCCACAGACGCTGGCCCACAAAGCCAGAGGCCTGACATCTCCTGTAAAGCCACGAACCCGTGTTCACACGCAAGGCACACACACGGTGAAAACAGCTCTGTTCAAACAGAGGGTCACACGGAGAAGACACGGGAGCCACCCACAGAGCCACCAGGCTCAGGGCACCGTGGGCTCGCGTTCTGGTGCAGAAGCCGGGACTGACACGTGGTTTGTTTGTGTTTTCCTAACACAGGATCGTGCTGTACCTCTGTCTGAGCACTGGACAGCGCAGACGCCGGAGCGCAGGACCTGTCCCCGTCATAGCCCCTGGCGCCGCGCCTGGCACGCAGCCGGCGGTCCGTGGAGTCCGCTGCCTGGATGCCGTAAGGCTCTGACACACCGCGGTCAGGGTCGGGGGGCTGCACCCCACGGGAGCCCACGTCCCAAGTACTCAGCCACGCCCCCCGCTGACAGACGCCGCTCTCCTCTCCCTCCTGTAAACGATGACCTAACGGACACGGTTTTCCCGAGTCCCCGGGCACTCTCAGCTCTCCCCTCGGCTTCTCCCTTCCTCCCTCACTCTCCCGTGTGCACACGGAGCAGGCAGGCGCAGTGCCCATGTCCGAGGGCCTCTGACACAAGCTGCCCCGTGTCCGCGACTGCCCCTCACACTCCCACACGGACTCCCTCTCGGCGGGCCCCTCTGAGGGGCTGGCGAAGGCCCCCGCCCCCCCTGACCCTGACCCTCACACGCCTCGTCACGGAAAAGCGCCAGCACAGAGAGAACCGGGGCCGTGTAACAACGCCCACACGCTCCTTTCCCAGCGCCAGCGACGACCAGCGGCCGGCGTCGCTCCGTCTCGTCCCCACGGCTCCGCCGCCCCGTTCTAGGCTGACCTTCACCCCAGACATCACGCCGAGGCACCCACAAATGAGAACTCCTTGGGGAAAAAAAACAACAGCCACCACCACCACCACAATACCACCGGGACAGCTCAAACACCAACAGCCAGCCTCTGCAGAGAGAGGGCCTGAGCGGAGAAGGAGAACAGGCTCATTCCTGAGGAGGAGTGGGGTTTACTGGAGGTAAGGTAACCAGGGAGGGCCGCTCGGAGGTGGCAGCGTTTGTGCTGAACCCCAATGACAACAAGCAGCCGCCGTGGGGAGACCCGAGGGCACCGGGGCACAGGGACCCTCAAAGGCAAAGGCCCAGCAGGGGGACCGAGTTCGAGGAAATAAAACCCAGCGTCTGCTGCCCGACCTAAAGCATTTCTCCTGCCATGAGCGTAGCTTTCCTTAGCTGCCAGGCTTCCTGCCCACACCCCCGATTGGCTCGCACCCCTGGGGCCACCTTGAGACAACACGCTGCCCTTGCCCAGGCCCAGAATGACTCCCCACCACCCGTCACCCTCGCCTGCGCACAGGGGCCAGTGTCTGCTCGGAGGTGCCGGAGGCAGCACCCCCGGCCCGGAGCGCTGGGAGCCACCGGGTAACGCAGTGCACACGCCAGACAGCGGTGGCATTCCGGCAGGCCGGGGTGAGAACCGAGAGCAGGCTCTTCCCCAGAAAAGACAACACCTGGATTCAGCCTGGCCGAGCCGGCCGCCGGCAACAGCCCACAGCCTCCGTCACCGTCCCCGTGGGACGCTGCCCCACACGCGGGGATGCAACAGGCAGAGCACATGGGGCTCTGAGGAAATGGCTTCTGTGTGTGGATGGACAAGAACTCACGGGCACAGAGCACCCACAAGGCAGGTCCCGGGGGCAGCTCGGGAGTGGGTGGGGAGGGGGGCTTCTCTTGCTTAGATTTCTGACGATTAGAGAGCAGAATGTGCCTGAACTGGTGTGGCTCAGTGGATAGAGCGTCGGCCTGCGGACTGAAAGGTCCCAGGTTCGATTCCGGTCAAGGGCATGTACCTTGGTTGTGGGACCATCCCCAGTGGGGGGTGTGCAGGAGGCAGCTGATCGGTGTTTCTTTCTCATCGATGTTTCTAACTCTCTATCCCTCTCCCCTCCTCTCTGTAAGAAATTAATAAAATATATTTAAAAAACAAACAAACAAGCAAACAAAAAAGCTTAAAAAAAAAAAAAAAAAAAGACCAGAATGTATTTTAAGAAACTGTAAGAAGCCTGGCCGGATGGCTCAGTGGTTGAGCGATGACCTGTGAACCAGGAGGTCACGGTTGGATTCCCTGTCAGGGCACATGCCCCGGTTGCGGGGTGATCCCAGTGGGGGGCGTGCAGGAGGCAGCCGAGTAATGATCCTCTCTCATCATGGATGTTCCTATCTCCCTCTCTCCCCCTCTCCCTTCCGCTCTGAAACCAACTGAAATAGGAAAAGAACCAATGAGAAAAGCCTTGTGGGCGAGAAGAGGTGAGCTCAGGCGAGGCCACTGGGAAAGGCCAGGGAGCCTGTCCACGGGGCCCGGCGGGCAGCCTCCCAGGCGGCGCCGTGTCCCGGCCCCGAGCGCGGGCACCCCTGCGTGGAGGCGTGCGTGGCCGCGGTGCACCCTAGTCAGGGCCGAAGGGCCGGGAGCTGAAGCAGGGAAGGGCTCAGGGTGGGGGCATCTGTGGGCGGGAGGGGTTCAAGCAGGAAGAGGGGGTGGGGAGGCGGCCCGGGTGGCCAGACCTGACTGGGCCGCCCACGGACCTGTTCCCACAGTGCCACGTGGCCTGGGATGAGCTCTGGCTCTGCCGTCACTGCCTGTGGACTCAGGTGACAGCTCAGTGCGGACAGCTAATTACAGGCTGTCAGAAGGCGGTGACGGCACGGCGGCTGGTATTCACGGACTCTCCCGGTGCGCCCGGGGTGGCTGCACTTTCCCGGGAACTGGCCACTCTCCCTGCCCCGGGGGATGGGTACTGCCCCCCCCCTTCCGCCAGCCACCCGCTCCCCGCTCCCTCCCGGCTGCTCGGGGTCCCGGGGCTGGAGGCGGCCCCTGGAGGATACGTACGGTTGGAGGTGAGTCTGTCTGCGCCTCCCAGCGCGTTGAAGGCTCCGTGGACGTTCTGCACCTGCGGAGAGGCACAGCGAGAGGCTCACCGGCTGTGAGGGACGGCCATGCCCCCGGGTGCAGGGCCCTCTGGTCTCTGTGTGCTGCCACGAGTGAGACACTGCTGGTGGGGCCGGGCCAGGCCTGCCGGAGGGGCCTCTGGATTGGCAGCCAGGACTCCGACACTTCATTCACCACGCTCACCCTATCCGACGGCGTGGGCCCAGGCAGCAGGCCGAGGGGGCCGTGGAGGGGAGGGGCGGGCTGGTCTGTGGAGCCAGACGGATGTGCTGGGAAACCCTGGACAAGTGGCTTCTCTAGCCCCGGCGCCGTGTCTGTAAAATGTGGACCCCCCTCCCGCCTCCTAATGCTGCACGGACAGAGAGAACGCGCCAGCGCTTAGCACTCGCTCATGGCCCTTTCCCCAGGCCCCAGGGCCGAACCCGGGTCCGAGGCCAGCGCGCTGAGGCAGCAGTGCTCAGGAGAAACGAACGGGACAGGCTGTGGATGGAGCAGAGGGCCACAGGGGGCGACCCCTCTGGAGGGCATCGCTCTGTGCCCAGAGGACAGGGCCCCGGGGACACAGCCCCTGCGGCGGGGCTGCTCACCTGCAGCGTGTCCCCGAAGGACAGCTTGTGGATGATGTGGGTCATGTCCGGGTTCTGGGGCTGGGCCGAGGCACTGTGTGTGGACACATGGAAGTTCCCGGGGACCTGGGGAGAGAGGCGAGTGCAGGAGGTCGGTGGGATGCCCCCAAGGGGGGGAGGGGGCACAGGGCTTCCCCCCAGAGTCAGACACGTTTGGATTTGGACCCAGGTCGGTCAGGCCACGAGACTCTGAGGAGCCAGAACCCCCCCTCGGAGCCCCAGGCTCCTCGTCTGCAGAGGGCGGCAGTGACAGAGCTGCCGAGGGGCTGCTGGGGGCTGGGGGAGCGTGCCTGCTGGGCACCAGGCACGAGGCCGTGGCTCCCATCAGCACCCCCTCCCTGGCTGTGGGCGCCACAGTGGGCGAGGGGACGACCTTCAGACTTCCTCAAACTCCGAAGCAGCACCGCCAGCCCCAGAGGAGGAAGTGTCGCGTCCTTTGCGATCACGCCCGTTTCAAACGCCGAGGCTCTCTCTCAGGAGCAGCCCCGTCTTCGCCGGGGCCTGGGCTGTGGGCGGACCCGGGAGGAACCTGACCGACAGGACGTGGCCTGGCCTCGGTGAGCCACAGTGGAGTGGCCAGCATGGAGCCTGGGCCTGGGCCCAGGGAGCTGGGGGAGCAGGTGGAGGCAGCCAGGGGCGAGCGGGAATGACAGCTCAGTCAGATCTCCCGGGAGGGACACATCGCCCGCTCCAGGGGCCCGAGGCCCGTGACAGAGCAGCAGCTGAGCGCCACCCCCGGGCCAGGCTGGCCCACTCCCTGGCTAGGGGCCTTGGGCATGGCCAGCAGCTGCTCGGTGCCTCAGTTTCCCCGTCAGCAAAATGGGGGTGATGACCACGAGGGTCCCTGGGAGGAGGCGATGAGGTGATGAGTGCAGGCCGAAGGACCTGTTTGTCATCAGAGCCGAGAGGGGACCCTCCTGAAGGGGGTCCAGCGTGTACACAGCCAGGGCCTGGGCAAGAGCCACGGTGCTGAGACGTATAAACGTGCCCGGCCGGTGTGGCTCAGTGGTTGAGCATCGACCTATGAACCAGGAGGTCAGGGTTCAATTCCCAGTCAGGGCACATGCCTGGGTTGTGGGCTCCATCCCCAGTGGGGGGAGGGGTGGTGGGCGTGCTGGAGGCAGCCGGGGAATGATCCTCTCTCATCATTGATGTTTCCATCTCTCCCTCTCCATTCCTCTTTCTGAATTCAATAAAAAATATATAGACATTAACAACCTATTTTAAACATCACTTTTACTTCTGTAAATAATACTTGGAGATATAGGCATTATATAAAACTCACATGATATAGTCCAACTACTGTCCTCGTCACTGTCCACCCCGGAAAATAGGACACCTGTGGGTCTGGTGTGGCCCTCAGGGCTCCTCCACTCACTGACGTGGGCCCCGTGGACGTGGGCAGAGCTCAGAACCGTGTTTGGGGCCGGGGCCTCATGTCCCAGAGCCACGTGAGCCCAGGAGGCCAGCCCCTGAGCAGCTGCCACCCGCTGCCACCCCTCGGCTGTGACTCAGTGGCCCGCGCCCCCTCCGCTCAGAACCATCACAGGGGCTGACTCATGCCGGCACACGCTGGGCCGGAGAAAGAAGTGGACGCTCTCAGAGCCCGTGACTGAGGAACCTGCGTCAGTGCCTCGGATGGTTTTAAAAATACAGAGCGGAGGCCAGGCCCCCGGCCCCCGCCGAGCCCGCCAGCCCCTGGGGCGCCGGGTGAGTAAGCGGGGAGTCTGGTCTGCCGGTGCAGCCGGGAACATGTGACCTCTGACACCTGGCTGCTGGCCAGCTTCCTGATGGGGAGATAAGGGGCCACGCGGCCAGCGTAAGCCTGACGCCGAGAGATACAGGGTGGGGTCGCCTGCGAACCTCACCCGCCCGTCACCCGTCGACGGTGAGCCCCTCAAAGGCATGAACCGGTCACCTGTCAAGGGTGGGGGCAGAGGCTGGCCCGAGCTGTGCTCTGCAGGGAATGGACACGCCGGTCACGTCACCTGTGAGCCCGTGAAAGATGTGAAAACCAAGCTAAGCCGGACTGGGATGGCCCAAGGGTTGAGTGTCAACCTATGAACCAGGAGGTCACAGTTCGATTCTGAGTCACGGCACGTGCCCGGGTTACACGCCTGACCCTCGGTGTGGGGCATGCAAGAGGCAGCTGATCAGTGGTTCTCTCTCATCACTGATGTCTCTCTCTCTCTCTCTCTCCCTTACTCTTTGAATCAATAAAAATAAATTTTTTGGGGGAAAAATCCAATAAAGACAGCGGAGGCTAAGATGGGTGAGTGACTGGGAGGGAGTTGCTTGGCCAAGAGGGGATGGAGCTGGGATGCAAAAGCAGGGCTCAGGGCTGCCAATGCTGCCGTCTTCTCACCTCTACTCCCTGCCCCCCTTTCCCTTGCCCCCCGCCCCCCAGCCGCCTGCTCCAGCCAGCAGGGGCTCCGAAGCCCAGGAGCCTTGGTCCCCACACAGACCTCGGCAGGCACTGCCAGATCCCGGGTGTTGCCCCCACTCTCTGGAATGCCTGGGGGAGGCGAGGGGTGCACAGCTCCGCCTGTTTCCAGGGAGGCCGAGCACGGAGGGGTGGCCCGGGCCTCTGTACCTTGTTGATGCTGAACTGGCCCTCGAAGCGGCAGCCTGCCCCGTTGCTCAGCGGGATCTTCATGGAGTTGTCGATGTGCCCCACTTCGTGCCTGCCCATCTCATCCTGGATGTCCAGCCCGACCACTGCGAGGCCAAGGGGGGGAGGGTCTGTCAGCCAGAAACGGGGGGAGGACCAGCCCCTCCTCCGTCCACTCATGGGCAGGCGGCGCTGGGCCCAAGGTCTGGGGCTCAGAGTCTCAGAGGGACCAGCCCCTCCTCCGTCCACTCATGGGCAGGCGGCGCTGGGCCCAAGTCTGGGGCCAGAGTCACAGAGAGGGTGTCAGCCATCGGGAGAGGAGAAAGTGACCCTGGACTAAGAGGGAGCCAGCCGCCCCCCATCTAACCCCCCGTCTGTGGCTGGAAAGGACGAGGGGAAGAAATGGGGATAGCGATGGAGGACTGTGGGGTGCGGGGTGACACTCGGCTGCGGGCAGGCGGCAGAGGGTCAGGGTTAGGAGGAGGCCTGAGGCCCGGGGCCCTGGCAGCTTTACCAGCCCTGGCAGAGGCTCTGCATCGCTCTGGGCCTCCGTTTCTTTCCTGGGAAACGGGGTGATGACAATTAAGCCTTCCTTGGGGAGTCACGAGGCTCAGGCGGTTCAGATGGACAGGACATGCTTACAACAGCGTCCAACGCCCAGGAGTGGCAAGGGCTTAACGGGCTTCAGCGCTTTACGGGCCTCTGCCAGTCTCTGGGTCCCTGGTTAAACCGGCTCATTCATTCATTCATTCATTCATTCCTCATCTTCCCTCATTCACCCATTCACACCTCCCTTTCTGCAGGCTGCCCTGCAGGAGCTCAGGCACTCTCTGGGGTTGCTCAGTCACTAGATGGGAAACCTGGGGACTCCAGTGGGACTCCACCATCTCTGTGCCTCGGCTTCCCAGCCTGGAAAACGGGCAGGCGCACGCCAACTGCTTGTCCTGAGGGTCCACGTGGCAAGGAGGTGGTGGTGGGGGAAAGGGGGTCCCCGTAAACGACAGACACGCAGGAACCTCCCTGAGGAGAATTCCAGGACGGAGGTTGCCGGGGAGAGACAGGGCAGCCGGAGCAGCGTTTAAGTGAGCTCATCTTAACAGGGAACAGCCCGGTTCCTCCGTGGAGACGGGCCGTGGAGCAGGGCTCACCCAGAGAGAACGGGAGGCAGCCTTTGACGAGGATGCTCACGGGCCTGCAGGACACGGGCGTGAGGCCCACAGCAGGTCCCCGTGTGAGGCGGCAGTTCCGTCCCAGGAGCCTGGCCCCCGGTGCACAGGGAGCAGGCGTGTGCGGGAGGCTCTCCGGGCAGCCTTATGTGGAACTGACACCTGGAAGCAGCCCAGCCAGCTGCCCGTCAAGGGCACCCGGTCCGTGGACCGGCCTCCTCAGGATGCCGGGCCCCAGGGATGGGGAGAGGCCGTGAGGGCAGGTGCAGCCCCTCGGACAAGTGACCTAACCTCCCTGCGCTCCGGGAGCCTCCTCCAGCCCACGTGTCTGAGGAGGAGAGAGAGGTAAAACGGCACCCACTAGGCGCTAGTCACTCACATTGGGTGCCTTTTAGGTCCCAATGTTCCCTCTGGACATCCCTGCGGGGAAGGTCACATGGCCAGGCCCATCCTTGGGGGGACACGGAGGCACAGAGAGGCTAAGGAACGGGCCTGGGGCCTCACAGCTAAGCAACGTCGAAGCTCGGGTCGGACCCCACGGGGCCCCCACGCCTTTCACCCTGACCCAGCTAACGCGTGCGTGGCGGGGCCTGGCCCGGACTGGAGCTGTCTCGGTGCTGGCTGTGGTTACTGTTTCGCTGCTAATCCTACGAGGGATGGAGGAACAGCTCCGAGATAGGAGCTGGAGAACGGAGCCCCGAAAGGTCCCATCCCGTTTCCTCAAGGATGGACAAAGAAAATAAAGAATGCTGACGGGCAGGCCGGCAGACAGACAGACGGACACAGGGGTGAGGGGAGGGGGCCCACTGCTGGCAGAGGCCTCCCGTGGGGCGGGTGGCACCCTGGGGAACGTGTCTTTCTTTTCCCTTTTTCTTGACCTATTTCTGTATTTTGAACATGCACCTTATTGAGAAAGTTTAAAAGATAAAGTATAATATTCCTGGATTCGTTGTGCAACCGAAAAAGCCCATCGAGTGAGAGGAGGACATGGGCCTGCACAGCAGCATGAGCTCAGCCGGTTTAGAAATGTGCGGGGAGGAGAGCCAGCAGGACGGGACGGCCTGGACCGTCCGGCAGGGAGGCCATCGGGGGTGAAGGATGGGCGATTTCTCCTGTCCGCACGGCTCTGGGTTTTCCAAGGTACAACGATGAGCACACATTGGTTTCCCTGTAATGTAAACGCGCCGTTCTCTTTGAAAAATTCCAGGGCGTGGGCCCCGCAGAGGGGCAGGAAGGACCCCGGGAGCCAGCGCGGCTGCCGCTGGAGGCCACCGGCCCCTCTTGGGCTGCTGCCCGGAGCTGGGATGGAGCCTAGAGCTACACCTCTCCCCTCCCCCTGTCCCACGGGTCCCAGGCCTCTGGCCGAAGCATTTCCTTGTTCCAGAGACATGACCAGTTCCTGAAGGAGAAGCTGCCAGAGGAGTTATTTTTCTAAGAGAAAGGGGATTAAAATAAAAACACAGCCGACCTATTTCAACAGGCTCCCTGGCGCAGGGCCCACCGTGGCGTCAGGGCTGTGATGCAATTCTCAGCACAGCAGGAACGGGGCCGATCCCTGTCTCTGCCCGCAGGCCCGCCCAGTGAGCTGCCCTCGTAGGAAGGCAGGGGGTTCTGTGCCAGGCTGGGGCAGAGGAACTGCTAGAACCCCAGACCCAAAGGGGACACCAGGCCACTCGCCCACCAGCCTAGGAACCAGCTTACCACATCCTCTCAACGGCTTCGGGCAACAGAGAGCACCAAGCCCATTTTACAGATGAGGAAACCGAGGTGGGAGAGGTTGCCTTAGCCAGCGTCACACAGTGCTACTGACCAAAAGAGCCAGAATCTGGTGCCACCCATCGCTCTTCCAAGGAGTTGTGTTTATACAAATAACTCATCCTCTTGGTTGAAACACATGAAACCCACAAAACAGAGTGTGAGGTAGAAAAGGAAGCTCCCGCGGCTGCTGGCAGCTCCGAGCTGCCTTCCTCCCAGGGGACCCTCCGGGCTGGCCGGAGGCCCCTGGCCTTGAGCTGCTTGGGGGGTTATATGACCCCCACCATCACCCACACACCCCCAGCCCCTTGCTACCAGGAGGGACAAACCACGGTGTCACTCACACACCTAACATCTCTGCGTGTCCTCTCGCCTCCCTGACACCCTACAGGTCCCTTCTGAGAGCCCTCCCTCAATCGACCATTTGCAGGGAACCTAACTCTGCTTCTCTGACCTAAGAGACGCCTCTTCCCATCCACACACACACACACAGAGACACACATGTGCACACACACACACACACACACACACACGGCCACTCTCCAGAGGTAACCCCGGTTAGCAATTTCTTGCTTTTTATCCCAGAAAGCACCAAGTGCATCACATGGGATCACATGCTACCTGTGGCTGGCAGCTTGCGCTGTGTGCCTAGTGGCCCCGGCTCTCGCCAATTGTGCACCAAGCTCTGCCTACACGGGAAGGGGAGGGGGGCGGGGAGGGGGGCGGGGAGGGGGGTCTTGCGGGGGGAGGGCTGCGGGGAATACTCACGGTCGCAGTGCAAGTTGGGTAAGCTGATGTTCAGGCTGACGTCGATCTTGCCCCCGCTGTCCTTGTCCGGGTCATCGACGTACAGCTCGTTCACCCTGAGGAGACAGCGCAGAGCCTGGCTGAGGGGGGGCAGGGCCACCAGGACCGCCGGGCGGGGGGACTCCGGCTCCGGAGCCTGCACTCCCTCCGGGGCGGGGGGCCTGCGCCCGCTCAGGTACAGGCCAGCGGGGTCACCGTCCCACGGCCGGCCATGGCAGGTTCCCTCCAAGCGCTGGCCTAGCACGTGGAGGCAAGAGCACAGGAGTCGGATTCGAGCTCCAGTCCCGGCCCTGCCTCTCCCTGTGGGAGCTCAGCGGCTATCACCTCTAGGAACACGGCTGTTACATGGGTGTGAACGGAACGGTGTGAACACACCAATGAGAACCCCAGGCCTTCCCAGGGCCCGAAGCCTGGCACCCCCAGGCACAGGACACCTTCCTGCCCCTCTGCCTTTTATTATTATTATTATAATAATTAATATATTTTTATGGATTTCATAGAGGAAGGGAGATGGAGAGAGATCAGCAGCCTCCTGCATGCCCCTTGTTGGGGATCGAGCCCGCAACTCGGGCATGTGCCCTGACCAGGAATCGAACCGTGACTGCCTGGTTCGTAGGTTGATGCTTAACCACTGAGCCACACTGGCCGGGCCCTTCCTCTTCTCTTGAGCGCCCCTCCCACCCTGACTGTCACAAACCCCGGGCGGGGACCCGGTCTGAGGACACGGGAGCGCTGTGGCAGTGTCTCGTGGCTGCTGCCACCACTGTCAGAGTCAGTGACTTATTCTAGAAGGTAACGACGCCCCGGAGGCCGGAAGTCCAGACACGCTCCACAGGGGAGAAGGCATTTCCCTGCCTTCCTCGGCGTCCGGAGGCTGCTCCCGCGCAGCCCCTTCCTCTCTTCCCAGCCCCTCTCACCGCCCCCTTCCTCCGAGAAGCCCTCCGTGGTTTCACCCCGCCCCCCTGCACACCCCAGGGTCACCTCCCATCTCCAACCCTCGACATACGAGTAATCACACTGTAAGGTCCCTTTGCCGCACGAGGCAACAGTCACCAGTGTCAGAGTGGGGGATGACACACTCTTGGGAGGGGGGGTATAGGGGAGAGGTGACACCTTGTTGTCAGAAATAATAGCCACACACTGGGATCCGTGAGCAACACATATCCATTCAACCTGTAGTCCGAGCCCCCTGGCCTGTCCGGCCCTGGAGAGAGAGAGGACCCAGGCCCCGTGGCCTCGGCCCTCACAGGGCTCGGACACCCCCGCCTCCTGGGTAAACAGCCAACCAGGTGACTGCCTTGACGGAAAGACATGCGCCACCCCCCACCCCCCCACCCCCCAATCCCGAGAGGGCCGGCAGCGTGGCTGCCCTCAGGACAGTGGCCGGGAGACTGCCCGGAGGAGGCGGCCGCTGAGGTCTGGGGGTGAGGGCTGTCCTGACGAGGAGGGAGGGGTCTCCAGGGCCTGGGGTGGGGGGGGGGCACAGTGCCTCGGGGACCAATGGAGGTCGCTGGCTGGGTGTGGAGCAGAGGAAGGCAGGTCTGGCAGGCTCCGAGGCCACGCAGAGGATTCACACTTGAACCCGAGCCCAGCACCAGGGTCAGGCTCACGTGATGGCCTTCCTCTGCTGCCGTAGAAGGCTGACAGGGGCCGCCATGACTCTGAGTCCCGGCGGCAGGGGCTGCGGCCGGTGCAGGTGACGGAGGGGCCTGGCCCGGGGAGAGGGGGGGAGGGGAGAAGGGAGGGAGGTCAGGGCGGGTGGCTCGCTGGTGGACAGGGGTGGCATCGCCCGGAACCATTCCCAGGAAGAGAAGCGGGCGGTGGGAGGGAGGCACGGGGTTCCGTGTGGCTGCTGAGCTCGAGGTCAGCGAGCCTGCAAAACGACCTGGGACAAGTCGCTCCACCTCTGAGCCGGTAAAACGGGTAGAACCTTCTGTGGAGTGTGAAGACAGGCCTCGTCAGCCCGGCCGGCGTGGCAGAGCATTGACCTGGGAACCAGGAGGTCACGGTTCGATTCCCGGTCAGGGCACAGGCCCTGGTTGTGGTTCAGTCCCCAGTGTGGAGCATGCAGGGGGCAGCCGGGGAGTGCTTCTCTCTCATCATGGATGTTTCTAACTCTCTCCCTTCCTTCACACCCCAGCCTTGGGAGGCAGCCCCAGGGAGCCGTGCCGGACGCCTGGTTCCCGGAGAGCACTCTCCACAGGAGGGAGCCGGATCTACAGCCTTCGTGGAAAGCTACGGGCAGCGCCAGGCGGGCCCTGGGCCCTGGCCGTACGTGAAGGACGGTGGCTCTAACCAGCCCTCCTCCAAGAGCCTCGTCCGTTTTCACGAAGACCCTGCCCCTGTGCCCAGCCCCGAGTGTGAAATGGTGGGCGCTCAGTCAATAAGACACGGGGGCTCCCTCACAGCACACACACCCGGGGCCAGAGTGTTCCCAGAAACGAGAGTGAGGCCTGCCCAGCTCAGCCTTCCGACGGCCGGGCCTCCAGCCCCTCGAGCCGGAAACGGCCCCGTCGGGTCTGCGGGCATTCACGGGGTCCCGCCTGCCCCTGCGGGATGTCCTGATCCCCCTTCTGCAGGCAGGAAGCTGAGGCTCGGAGAGGGCAGGTCCCATCCCCAAGGCCACACAGCAGGAAATGGCCAAGCTGCAACCCCACCCGGCCAGGTCTGCCTTCTGCCTGAGCTCCAGGGCTGCCTTTGGCCTCCTCCTCCTGGTCCTCAGCATCCAGGGACACCGGGGAAACGGGGGCGGGGGAGGGGGGGCATGATTCTCAGCATCCACGGTCAGCAGGGAAATGGGGGTGGGGGTGGGGGCTGATCCTCAGCATCCAGGGACACCGGGGAAACGGGGGGGCCCTGTCCTCAGCATCCACGGTTACCGGGGAAGTCGGGGGGGAGGGGCGGAGGGGGCGCCCTGGTCCTCTGGGGAGACAAAGGCCTGACTGGCCCGCATCCAAGAACAGGAAGGACCAATGGGCCGGGGGTGGGGTTGGGGGTGGGGGATGAAGGCGGACAGGATCACGGGGTGATGCTGGAGGATGGACGTCTCGGGGCACCCCAGCCCCACGCCGCAGCTCAGGAGGGCTGTTGGCTAATGAGACTTTGGGGTGATTCACAGAACGGTCACCCAGTCACCGAGGGAGAGCCCCAGCCTCCCTTCCCAGCGCAGGAAGGCTCTTCCTTGAAGCTGCTCACCTCTCCCTCCCTCCAGGTGGCCCCGCAGCACTGAGGCATTGTGGGATGATGTCACCCCTTGGCAATCCTCGGTGACCTCAGCTCCCAGGCCCAGGTGAGCCGGGTGTGGCGCCAGGTGAGCACACCTGGAGCCCCTTGCGGGAGGCCCTCCCAGCCCAGGGGCCCGGCTCCCCTGCTGCCCAGACAGGGGACTGAGGACTGGGGGGCTGGGGAGGGTGGGAGACCACTCCCTGCCGAGCCTGGCCAGTCTGGTTAGGAAAGCTGCCGCTGGCTGCTCCCGGGGCTCCCAGGGGGCCCGGGCTGTGGGGTGGACGGCGCAGCCACCTGTGCCGCCGGTGAGGTCAGTGCGGCCGCCTCCGAGCGAGTCCTGGCAAAGCCCCCAGCTGCTGGCTGCCCGCCGCCCAGCCCTCGCTGCCCGGGCCGAACTGGTTTTCACAGGTGGCTTTAAAAGCCCGTTTGGAGCGAAAATGAACTTTTTATGGATTCACCGACGTCTGGGGACTCCGGTGGGCCCGGTTCTACCTGTCCCTGGGGGGCAATGAGAAGACCCCGGGCAGTGACAGGCGGATGTGGGCTCAGCCCCGCTCTGCCCCTGAGAGGCTGGGGGGCCGGGGACAAGTCGCTCCACCTCTCTGAGCCGGTAAAACGGGTAGAACCTTCTGTGAAGTGTGAAGACAGGCCTCGTCAGCCCGGCCGGCGTGGCAGAGCATTGACCTGGGAACCAGGAGGTCACGGTTCGATTCCCGGTCAGGGCATAGGCCCTGATTGTGGTTCAATCCCCAGTGTGGGGTGTGCAGGGGGCAGCCGGTGAGTGCTTCTCTCTCATCATGGATGTTTCTAACTCTCTCCCTCCCTCTCTCTTCCTCTCTGAAATCAATAAAAACATATATTAAAAACCAAAAAAAAACATAAAACCGAAACTGGTTTGGCTTAGTGGATAGAGCATCAGCCTGTGGACTCAAAGGTCCCAGGTTCGATTCCGGTCAAGGGCATGTACCTTGGTTGCGGGCACATCCCCAGTGGCGTGTGTGCAAGAGACAGCTGATTGATGATTCTCTCTCATCCATGTTTCTAACTCTCTATCCCTCTCCCTTCCTCTTTGTAAAAAAAAATCAATGAAAAATATTTTTTTAAAAACAAAACCCATAAAGACAGGCAGAATTAATCGATGGTAAAAGAAGTGGGAAAAGAATTAATCGATGGTGGTGGGAGGGGGGGTGTGCAAGCAGGGAAAGGGAACCTCCCAGCTCATGGAAATGTGCTGTCTGGTTGGGGAGATGGTGACGTGGATGTAGGAGAGACAGACAAAAACGGGCCATGGATTCCGGCTAGTTCCAGCCTGGGTGATGACTGGCCATAAGGCGGCAGGCTGCCGGGCAGGGGGTCTGTCACTTCACTCTGGTGGAGGGCATCGTGGTGTGAGTCCAGGCTCTCGGGGTCAAATCCTGCCTCTGCCACCTCCTGGCTGACTGACCGTGGCCACGGGCTCTGCCTCCGCCAGCCTCGGTTTCCCCAAATGTACCGCGGGGGCAGCCACAGACGTGGACGATCTCAGTAAACAGCACGTGCTCCGTGAGAGTCCACTGCGTTCACTGCTGTTATTAATACCAACGTCCACTGAGTTGATAACAACAGGTATAGCACCCAGGGCCCTGTGGTGGGGATTAAATGTGCTCACGTGTGGCCCGGCTGGCGTGGCTCAGTGGCTGAGTGCCGACCAATGAACCAGAAGGTCATGGTTTGATTCCCGGTCAAGGGCACGTGCCCAAGTTTCCAGCTTGATCTCCAGTGTGGGGCGTGCAGTTAGACAGCCAATCCATGATTCTCTCACATCATGGGTGTTTCTCTCTCTCTCCCCCCC